AAGGGTTTTGAAAAGGGCATAGAGTTCTCTTTCATAGGTGAGCTTTGCTAAATTCTTCGATGAGATCTTGCTCATGTATTCGATCGCCTCAACTTTTTACCTTACTGCTGAGCCAACACTGCGCCTATGCTGTATTGGCTTCCACATTGGGAACCATGAGAGCCTCATAATGCATGAGGGCATACTTCAGCCTTTTGAAGGCACCCTGACATTTGTCTATCCATGCCCGCGGAGTGTCAAGGCGTGTTAGATCGATCAAGGAGGCTGCCACATAGGTTTTCACAAAATTGCAGCAGCAGCTTGTCATTCCAAAGAACGATCTGAACTCGGTCGCAACTGAGGTCGTGGTCAATCACGAATGCTAGCCACCTTCGCATCTTCGGGACTAATCTCATCTGTGGATATCTCATAACCCAAATACAAGATTTTCATGAGACCGAACTCACCTTTCTCTAAATTGATCTTATACTTGTGTAGCCACAATAGTGAAAGTGCAAATTTTACATGTTGCACATGCTCCTTGACTGTTTTATTGAAGGTAAGAATATCGTCAAGGTACACGACAACAAACTTGTCCAAGTACTCATGAAACACCCTGTTCATGCCATGCTGGAATGTACCCGGCGCATTGCAAAGGCTAAAGGCATCACTACAAACTCGTACATACCGTACTTGGTCTAAAATGCGGTTTTGTGTTGATCTTCTTGTCAAATGGCAATCTGATGGTAGTCGAACTTTAAATCTATCTTTGCAAGTACTTATATCCCTGCACCCTTTCCAATAAGCCGTCGATGCGTGGTAGACGGCTCAAACCTCTATAATCAATGCACATCCTCAATAATCCCATCTTCTTCGAAACAAATAGAACTGGTGACCCGAAGGGGGAAGTACTAGGGGAAGTATCCATCCCTTTTCTATCAGCTCTTTCAGTTGCCGACGAATCTCATCCAACTCGGTTGGAGCCATCCTATATATCCTCCCCTTTGGTGTCTTGCTACTCGGGATGATTTCTATATGGACAACCTCCCTGTCGACTCCTCCTCCTCAAACAGATCAAGGTGAAGCATCTTTCGGTCTTTGTCCAACCGGGGTTTGGCAACTTCGAGGTAGTACACACCTAACAACATGTCGAATGGCAAGTCGTTGCTAACTAGGAATAAAACCACCATAATAGAAGATGCAGACCACAGCCTTGACAACCATGCGCTCTTTGTTGGCCAAGGTAGATGCTACAGACCTATCCAAGCGTTGCACCTGGTCCCCTAGGCGCAGTCTTTCAACGCAGTCGCGACTTATGAAATTTCGCGTCAAGCCAATGTCTACGAAGGCACCACACTTGCGGCCACCTACATTGATTTCCACAACGAAATGCTCCCCTCTCGGACCTCTAGAAAGTGCCACCTATAACTCACGAGGGTCCCTAGCCAACCACTCGGTTTCTAAATCTTCCAAGGCCTCAGACACATCTAACGAACTATCGTTTGGTCTAGATGCGTCTGCGAGGTGACAACAAAGTCAGTAGCTTCGACCAACTCTTGAAGCGGTGAGGGTATGCTACCCACTTCGACATGAGTAGAGCAACGACAACTACTGGTCATATGTATTTCTCTGGGTTACGCTCGTAGAAGCACTACCCTGGGCGGAAGATCCCCCAAAACCACCTTTGGGAGGAATCTTATGAGACACCTTCACATTCTTGCATCTAAACTGTTGATGGCCATACTCGCTGCAGTTGATGCAAGTTCCTCGCGAATACAAGCCAACCCTCACCCAAGCCGAAATCTCGTTAAGAGTTCTGGACCTGCCCCAAATTCTTCTGTTGGGTGCCCTTGTCGCGTCAGCTGCCTTTCCTTTATTGACAGCGAGGTTTCCACCCTCTACGTTCTCCTGTCCAACTTTGTGCCCTCCACAAGAACGGAAATGTCATTAATCTTAGTCTAATTCCCATAGGAATCAACCATCATCAATCGACTACCCTTTTTCTTCCACTCTTGCGGAGTCGTCTTCTTTCTTCCATCTACAACTACTTGTTGAGCCCCTCCCAACTTTGCCTCTAAGTCTAAAGTCTTGTTGCTAAAGGACTCAAGAGTGTGATACTCGATGCTGGCCTCACTGACCATCAGATTCTTGTGGGAAGACGTCTCAAGAACATGGTCAAAAGGACTTGGGGATCATAGCGGACTTGGGGATCATAGCGGACTTGGGGATCATAGCGGACTCCTGGGACCACGATCAGTTTCTCTACAAAACTGGTAAGCTCTCGCACAGTCTTGTACTTCTTAGTATCAAGACGGGTCAACACATCAGTGGCTTGCTGAGCCTGTTGTGGGTTGTGCCAACGCGATACTACCAATTTCATAAAGATTTCCAACGTCTGGGTCTGCACCCAATCGTTCATTCTCCCGCCATATCCCTTCGCTGCTATATGCCCATTCAGCCACCTCGCTGCGGACCCTTCTAAGTAAGAGGCGGCAGTGATCACTTCCTCTTCTCGCAGAGTACGCTTCGCCCTTACCCACAATGGAACGGTCCTCAACCAGGTGTCGAGGGCCTCCTCCTCCTTGTCGCTTGTGAAGACACTTGGGGGTTTCATCGGGGTCTTAGGGAGCCGAGCTTGCTGTGGTCCAGACTGTCCCTATTGCTACACAGATGTCTGGACCGGCTGCTGCTGATGAAGCTTTTACGCAGTGAGGATACATTGGCGCTGGCTTGGTTAGCCACTCACGGGTAAAGGGGAGCGTGGCTTGAAGGCTGTCGCGACAGCAAAAGTATGTGGAATGATGAGAGCATGCTGACATTGCATTCTGGCTGATGTGGCACTCCATTGCGTTGTGTGCGCTACCGAGACTATGACCGGTCATCAAAATGCACATTGGCTCAATTGGTGGGAAATCTGCGGTTGGGGGCAGCTATCTCCAAGTACTTTGTTCCCTTACCTTATCTTCCTGGCGTGTAGGGGCCCAGTAGCTTCAGGTTGGCCCAAAGTGTCTGCGCCCAGGCCGAGCTTCCGATACTGGCCTGGGCCCCGTGCAGTTAGGCACATCCAGGTAGCCCCACGAGCCTCCAAGTGTTCGGCGCATTCTGATTGGCTCGTGGCATGTGTGTAACGCAGGAGCTGCTTTCTAATTGGTCCATGGCCGCTAAGTGACATGTCGGCCTCTTGATGCATGTGCCCAGGGCCTCAACCAAATGGTCCCTGGGTTAAACTGTACGACGCAGCTGGTGGAGGAGGCTCACGTTGCTCTCTGACCAACTGGTGTGCTGCAACTGTCTGGTACCCCACATACGAAAAATGTTGAAAATAGGCCTCTCTTGTGAATGTACCCGCCCGCCTTCACTTAGGGAGGGCATGAGGCTTGCTGGGGACCGCAGCCCAAAACATTTGCATGCCCAAGAAGGGCGTCACGAGGGCTCAATCCTCACAATTGCCTGGTGCTTCACTGAGTCGTTGCCTGCTGGCAGTCTGATTTCAACAACGGGCAACAAGTTCAAGAGTCAAAGCATCAATATGGGAATTCGAGGGTTCAACCTGATGAGTCGGTGCAACTCCGACGAAACGATCTTTCATCATCAATTTTTAACCTTCTTTTTTTTTGCTTTTTTTTTTAATAGTACTTGGACTTTTCTTGCCTGCCGCTTGTTGTCTTTTCCTTGCCTTGTTTGTCTGTGTGTTGCCTGCCCTCGTGCCTCCCCTGAACCCTCCAGCCTACGTGTCGCCTCCCTGCTTTTGCCTTGCGGCTTTTTTATGAGCCTGTTTCTTGTCTGCTGCTTGCTGTCTTTTCCCTGCCTTGTGTGCTTGTGTATTGTCTGCCCTCCTGCCTCCTCTGTGCCCTCCTTTGTGTTAAGGAGCGGAATCCCATCAGCTCGTTCGGTTCATGGCCGACATGCCAAAGACCAGCAGTCTATTACATCGCTAGAGGTATATGCTGATGGATGGCGCCGCAGTCTGTGCACGGGGCCATGGCACAGTATGCTATCTGTAATACACACACACACACACACACACACACACACACACGCGCGCGCG